GTAGGGACCTATGGCACTTATCAACACAGAAACAACCTTAAAATTAATTCAGCTTGCTAAGGACCTTTTCCACTTGCGTTCTGAATATCTTCAGGATAGWACACAGAATCACAGAACGGTTSAAGTTGGAAGGGAGCTCTAGAGATCATCTAGTCCAACCTTCCTGCTCCAGCAGGGACACCCAGAGCACGGGGCACAGGGTGGCATCCAGGCAGGTTTGGAAGACCTCCAGAGAAGGAGACTCCACAGCCTCCCTGGGCAGCCTGTGCCAGGGCTCTGTCACCCTCACAGTGAAGAAGCTCTTCCTCACATGGAGATGGAACTGCCTGTGTTTCAACTTGTACCCATTGCCCCTTGTCCTATCGCTGGCCACCACTGAGAAGAGCTTGGCCCCTTCCTTTCTACATTCTCCTTTTAGGTACTTACACATACTAATCAGATCCCCGCTCAGCCTTCTCTTCTCCAAGGAAAAGAGGCCCAACTCACTCAGTCTCTCCTCATACAAGAGATATTCCCTTAATCATCTTTGCAGCCCTCTGCTGGACCCTCTCTAGAAGCTCCACAGATACACCACGGCTCTGTGAGCAACCAACTTCACTCTTTTGACTAAGACATTTTTTTTTTCTTGTATGCAGCTGTAACTTCCCTTCTTGCAACATCTGACTGTTGTCTCTCACCTTTCCACTGCATACTTCAGAGAAGAAAGTGTGTTCTCTAATTCCTTTTCTCCAATCTTTGCACAGCGGAAATGAGAAGTTAGCTCATACCTTAATCTTCCCTTCTCCAGGCTACACAAAGCCGTCTCCCTCAGGTCTTCTTTGTACATCAAGTGCTTCCACACTGCCAGTGTCTTGTCTGTCTTCTATTGAACTCATCCAGTTTGCCAGTGTCTTGTACTGAGAAGCTCAAAACTGGACACCGTGCTTCTCATGTTGCTGACTCAGTCAGTGCAGAGGAGAATTATCATTGCCTTCAACTGGTTATTAGCCTTCTGCTAATGCAGCCCAATATGTTTAGCCTTCATGCTTGCAAAGGTGCACTGCCAACTCATGTTCTACTTGTTTTTCATCAGGACCCTCAGGTCCTTTTCTACTGAGCCACTCTCTAGTGAGTTAATCCCTATCCTGCGATGCTGAATGGAGTAATTCTGTCCCAAGTGCAGGAATCTGAATTTACTTCTTTTGCACTTCATGAGGTCCCTCACCCACTCCTGCAGGTTATCTAGCTCCTTCCAAATGAAGGCTCTGCTCCCCTCTGTTTGCTGTTTGCAAACTTTGTGTGGGTGCATCTGACCTCTTCAACCAGACTGTCTAGCCCAAGTATATTTTATTACTTTATCATATTGAAATGTTATCTAAATTAATTGATTCTTTGTCATTTCCCTTTAGACTTACTCATGATAACATTGCTCCATTCAGCAGCCTGGTAAAGAGGAATTTATTTAAAAATTTAAGGGCCAAGTATTATCTGCTATAAATTCCTCACAGTTCTAAATAGCTTATACGAAGTGAAGACTATTCACTGAAAAGTCAGAGTGCCTGTCATGTATCTAAAAATCAGCAGGTCATTTATTACATGTAGTCCCAAATGTTGCACACATTAGTTCAATGTTGGCATAAACATCTCTTCCAGAAGAAGAGAGAACTAAGCTACTTCTGCATAACTGCTGAGTTAGAACAAGCAAAAAAACCCTTTTTCTGTGTTTGCATATATGTGGTTTGGAAGAAAGAATTTCTGTTATTTTCATGCATTTATTACCAGTTGAGACTTTCTAATCTCTAGACACCTCTAAGGCTCAGAAAAATACATGCATTTTTACAAAAAATATTATTTCTATGCCTTAAAATAGATTTCTTACACAACAGCTGTAATCTAAAAAAACACTCTCAAGGGGAGCAAAGTTAGGAAAACACTGCCATCCATTATAACTCCACCCTTCTTCAGTCCTTCGTTTTGACCATTAGCTGAAACTTTCATCTCAGCTTCCCTTAATTTGACCCAAGGAGCTAATATCTTTTACTGGAGTTCATTTTTCATGATAGGAACATTCACTACAGGAGACCTTTATTGTACTAGGGAATAAAAGATGTCCGGCAGTGCCTCTTCCATAACATTCATACCAGATCAGTTGCAGTTCATAACAAACAATGTTTCACAAATAAGAAATCACTTCAAATCAACTTGCAAGAGGGCTGTTAAATAAATCTAACCCATGCAGACTTCTTCACCTTATTGCTACTAAGCAGAGCAGGAAATCAGAAATATAAAGGGTAAGGATTCTAATCATACTGGACAAGATAAGATCACTTTCAACTCTAACAATAAATGCCACAATTTTCATCTCCTGCAAGAGAAAACACAATGTTTCTAGGTTTCTTTTCAGCTATACCACTTTCATCCTCTTTCATATCCATTGCCCACAAGAACTACTTTTGACTTATAGCAGGGAGAGGAAGATGAAGTTCAGACCTATAAAACCAACTGCAATAAAGCTGGAATATTAGAATGTTGATTTTGTCTTCAAAGCTTTCCTGAGATAAACCACTGCAGACTATGGATAATATATGTTTTTTGGATAACACAGTGCTATCACCTTCTCATTTCTTCAGGCAAAATACTGTCCTTTCAACAGTGAAAATGGCTGTGCAAGATCAAAATAGAAGATCAGCCAGGAAACCATTCTGCTCAGGGAGAGAAAATGCCTCCTGGAACTCTGTGTGCACCAGATCATATGCTATAGCTAAAATGAAATGTAGCTAAAGAAAACCAAAATCTAACCATACTACCTGCTTTAGTATTCCCATATTGCCTCTTAGAAGCTCAAAGATAGCAAGGGGGTTCCCTCCCAGCAGAGAGGGTGCATGAGGATAATCCTAGCCTGTTTCTGCGAAACCCCTCAAAGCCCTGTAGTTCTGGGTCTTGGGCTGAAGGCACAGGCCAACAAATAAGTTATAGCCTTTTTCTTCTTCTACCACAAGAGGAAATAATGATACACTGCCCTTCTGTGCAAAGCTACTTATTTCCAGTAATTCTTTAAAGCAAAAGAGACACAGGAAAAGGGGAAGAGGTTGGTTGGGGAGGCAACAGTTTGTTCTGCCACTCAACTATGCATATGGTTTGAATGTGCGGATCTGCTGCTGTCCCCGTTTTCCCGGTAGTTATAATCCTATGAAAACACTAATTTAATTGTTTAAATAACTACCAATCCCTAATAAATGGAAGATGGTCTCCAAAGGAGTCATTTCTGCAGATGCACATGTTTTGCATAGTGCAGCAATCAGCAGGACTGCTCGAGTCCCTTATCGCTTTTCTACTGCACGWTTGAGGCTGATCTTGTTTATTGTTCTTTTGCAAATCTCTATGAGATCTTTGAAGTGGTTGGACTTCTCGAGACATGAGGCACAGACCCGCACCTGGTGCAAAGCAGACTGAGCAACTCTAATGTTAAACAAACAGCAGGCCCAGCTGAGGACAACGTACGAGTTATTGATAATGGCAGACAGGACATGCATGATCCATCCAAAGCAAACTATAGGTTGACTTAAAAAAGCAGTTTAGAACTGCATTTGCCATTCAGAGGAGCCCAACGTTTTCAAACAAAGACTCTGTTCTTTAATATACACAGACATATATAGGTATACATATAAAAGAAACCTTTATAGGATGTGTCCAGATGAGAATCCCTCCAGGTTCCTGTTCCTTTTTCTGGACTCATGCTTTTTATTATGGATATAGTATGGCTTGCTATACCCCAGGCTTAAAACAGCACAAGTTTGAAACTTTCTAACAATCAAATCAATCCCACTTGCTGTGTAATCTTGTGAGGAACACACTAAAGTGTTTAAGGAATGTGCTCAATGTGCTCCATATTCAAAACATACTATAGGTATATGAATTTTTCAGAAAAACTTGATCTTTTAACAGGAACTTGTTTCCTACTTCATAGTTTTTCTCCTTTTCTGCCTTAAGATTAAAGTTTMTTTCTTCTTTTCTTGGCAAGTATKATCAAGACAAAAAAACTGTTTATTTATTTGATTACAAATCTTCCCCAAATGCCAATACTTTTAACTTTTACTGGACTATCTCTTGTTCTTAATATTAATTGGCAAAATATATATAAGTGTAATAATTCTGGTGAGACATTATTAAGTCCTGTCACTACTCAGAAGAATCAGCTTTCCCCTAGGATGAACTGTATCTAAGTTTCTCCAGCACTTACACTACTATTCTTTGTGATAGGTGGATGCTACAGCATCAGCACATTAGTTGCAGCCCTGACACATTTGTAATGGACCTTGGACCACACGACCAAAGGACATGATGCTGAATGAGCTGAAGAGTTGAGTTTTATGTACAAAATGTAGATGACTATMTTGTCTTACTGCTTCTGCTTAGCTTCCCATGATTATGAAGAAGAGTAATCCATAATTTATTTAATCAGATTATTGTATGGATCAGGAACAGAGGCCCATATATTTGCAGGATAAATTGAACTTTTTGCATGTCTAGGTTWCTCTAGGTAAGTCTTTTCTTTTTGGAACTCAAAACACAAAGGCCTGTCCCCTCAGTGTAGACTTTCAACATCCTATAAAATCATTTAAAAGTAAGGAATTTCATCAGTATGTTGGTAAAACACCATGTCATCACACATTTTCAAGGTTTCTGGGTATTCTGTTTCAATTAAGTTGCATACTTTGCATACTTATGTTTTGAAATAAAATATATTATTCTCTATCACTGTTTGGAGAAGGAGAGAGAAGGTCATCTTGTCCTGAAAAAACAACCTGCCTTAAATAACTGCAGGCTATGAACTACCACAAGACACCTACACTTTCTGGTCTAGATCCACTGAAGTCAGCAGAGTTAGGTTTTATCTGCTGATATTCCTGTCTAAACTACTCTTTCAGTTCTTACTTCTCAGCTTGGGCACAGGAATAACTAGAATCATAAATAAAGAGGACAAAAGACTTGGAAAGCCACCAAAGAAATATCATACCTACCTCCAGTCTGGTTCTGTCCACATCCTTAGGCAATTTCACACGAACCCGGTTTGTTACAATAAGTGTTTCGTAAGGATAAATCTGTTAAAGAGACGAGAGCAGATGAACTCAAGCCAAATCTGATTCCCATGTATGGAAATGAGTGTGTGGGCAAGTTACTAATTTAAATGGTACATACTTGTATCCTTATTTGACAAATAATTCACTGGGAGAAAATTAACAATATAAAATAAAAAAGGAACACATTTAACCTTGCTAGGAAGTGCTGAATCTGATTGTTCTTCCAGAGCTGGAAAAGCTCCTCTTACCTTGTATTCTGTAAGAGAATGAGAATAAATTCACAATTTAGAATTTATAGCCTTAATTTGGACTCTCTGTAATGCACATTACTCTCTGTAATTACATTAGCAATTTGTTATATGACTCTGTATTTGCTATATTTCTCTCAATGTTTTCAATAGTTGTTGGACAACGGCTTGTGCAATATTGTGGGATAACTGTGCAATAGTGTTGGGTAACTGCAAGTGTAGTAAGTCTTTGACTCTAATTGGTCTGAATGTCTATAACACAGCCTATTACTGGAAGAATAGTCCTAGAAATCAAAGGTTTATAGGAGGAAATTCACCTCCTGATGCCACTGTCACTGGGTTAACCAATGTGTATGTCTAGCAAAACCAGGAATTTTTCTTCATAAGAAACTTTTCTTGTAGAGAGAGTTATGTCAGTCTGTCATTCAAAATCCTATCTTGATGTTCTTTAACAAAATTCTTTAAAGTGCATGCATTATTATAGACATTTCATAATGGAGATATCTCAAAACCATGAAATGAACAGAATACTCCAGAATGCCAATAACTTGTCCTTGGACTGACTGCAGTAGAWATAATGATAGGGGGAAAAAAAAGACTTTTTTTCCCTGCAAATACTGGGTATAAACTATCACAAGAATATTCTACTCTGCTTGGTATTAGTAGGTATGACTACTACATAGTCACCTGTTCTCACATATACTGATGATTAATGGCAACTAAGATAGTCAATATGTTTCAATGGTCTTTTCATATTCTGAAATGAAATCAGAGATAAATCTAGTTTTCAAAATCTATATACTTTTAACCATTCAAATAATAACACARAGATTTGCATCAAGACTTGAAATAAAACATTACACTGATTTTTTTTTTTTAAAGATTAAGTGATTGCAAAACAAAACTCTACTCTTCCTTAACAGAAGATACATGTTCCTAAATTGCTCAGCTTTTTTGGAAATTCCAGCCTAAGTGCCATATTAAGTTCACAGTGCACTTAAACAGTAAATAAATTAATAGAAAATATTCTGCTTTTGGAATCTTGTACGTTTTCATCCCACTATAACACAAACACAAAGCACAAGGAACACGTTTTCCTATGAGTCTGGAAGGACTGATTAGCTTAAATTTCTTCTTGTATTTGCCATGAGAACACCACCTGCTAAGCGAAGGCTTTTGAAGACTGCTGCCACATATACAGGATACGACAGTTGACTCAGCATTGTTACAGCAACTTGTCATGGACCAGGCCTTTATCTTCAGTCAGATAAAAAGGAGATTCTCCATGATAAGCATGACTCTGAGCTGTGTCACTATCTACTCAAAATCAAATCAGCCATGGGAACCATCAGAACAGAAATCCTAATGGCATGATCCTAGCAAGCATCCTCCAAGGAAACATGAATTGGAGCGGAAATGATATTGCAATCTACCTTTCATGCCCCAACTGGCATCCTGGTCTGGTTCATATGGGCCCATATTTTCAGGCTAAAAGAAAAAGAAACAAGCAATGTTTCTGGTTCATCAAAATATGCCACAAAACAAGACCTGGCACTTTGCATTGTTGAGGAAAAAAAATGATAGTACAATAAAAACAAACAACATGTATTGCACAACAAAAACACAGATCCTTACAAAAGAGAAAGAAAATTAAGTTTCATTAGAACTTGACCTAATTGCTCAAAGTTAACATCCAAAGCAGTCACAAAACCTATCAGTCTACAAATGCAGACACCTTTCTGCTTGTGCAGGGGGATTGGACTAGATGATCTCAAAGGTCCCTTGCAACATTCATCATTCGTTGATTCTGTGATGTCTCTGCCCATAAAAAAGACATAGTGTTTGATGAAGGCCCATGACACTTGCAGGCTCATTGTGCAGGGACAGTCCCTGCCCAGTGGGCCTTGGAAGGCACCAAGGGAGGCAATCACACAATCATTATCACCCCTAATCACCCCCATGCCCTTTCAGATCTCTCAGCTCTCATGTCTAGCAGCTTCTTCATGAAGGAGGAAGGTGTCAGACTTGACATTAAGTAAGATGTGGAATTTCACATGTCTTTGTCTGTGATTCAGACATCCTACTGCAACAGTCATGGGACAGGAGATTCCTTTTGAGCCACTGAAAATTTTATGCCTTATTCTGCTTTCGGTACTAAATCCAGAGAACTGTGTCTCTGTGCCTTAGCTTTGCTCATSCCATAAACTCTTTTCTTTGCTCGCAATATCCTGTGAAGATGGCAGACCAGGAAAGAAGTGCCTGTTTATATAAATAAATGTATATATATTTATATATAAATAAAACTCTATATAATATATACATACATATGTATGCGTGTGTATATGGATATATAAATGTACATATATACATTTATTTATAAATGTACATATATACATTTATTTATTGTGTCTGAATTTTGCATGTTAAGGTAGGAAACGTGTGCATAGCTATACTCACTATAACCTGCAAGGCTCATTACTGCTTGTTTGTTTTATTTTTTTTTTATTTTATTACGTAACATTGGGATTACTGATAAAAAATAACAAACCACAAAAATTGCTATGAACCTGCATTCCAAATAGAGAACTTTCATCTGAGAAGAATATCATAATTTTGGCCTAAATGATTTGATYATGAACCACTTTTTCGACTTTCTTAGTTTTAGCATGCGATGCTGGAGCAGTTAGCTGGGGGAAATGCTGTCATCTGCAGCTTTCACCTTGTGTTACATTGCAGAAGTCTCCAGCCCCAGGCAACAGTCACTTTCCAGACAGTTGCCTGCATTCTCTCTGATGATTCTCTCTGCATTCTCTCTTCTCCCCTGCCTTAAAAATGCAATGACTGCATATATGTGCAAGCTGCAAAAAGGCAGAAGAGATGGTTCAAGAAATTTAATAGATGTGGGCTGCTCCACCTTTGCTCTAAGACCATCACTTGCCCAATTACAGGCTTATCCTTCTCTGTCATTACTTCCAGCTATGTGCAGCCTGTAGATTTTTTTTTGTCTTTTTGTTTATTTTGGGAGAAGAGCCAGGATTCCTAATGCTCATGCCACACACACAGCTGAGGAGGTGCTCAATCTGTCTTTGTCTTGCAAACAAAGTGGAACCCTCTTAGCGCAAATCTGTTACACAGGGYTAATAGCCCTCCGAAGTGATCTCTGGTTTTATTATGTGGATTTTTAACTGGTTACCAGGCTGCCTACTGATGATACAGTGCTATCTGGAGAATGTATACCTACCTGATGTAAACCATTCTTTCCATAGCCAGGTAAAGAAGTAGATTTAGCATAAGGAAATCCTGTAAGAGACAAGATATAGAGCTGTACTTTTTTTGTAATGTTTTGTGTAACCTACTCAAAMACAGAACTTGAGGAAAACATGAGAAACAGTAATTCTAGGTCACTCTGTAAATACTGTTTGCAGGAGAAATACAACTGATTGCAGCTCGACTTTGCTCCATGTTTAATGTATACAGATACGCATAAGCATGTCTACAAATCACATCATGTCAGGATGTCAACAGTGTTAATCTATGACATGAAAATGAGATTAAAGGTTTCAGAATTCATTAATTCATTTCAGAATTAAATCCACTTCYGTTCATTGTGTACATGGTCTGTTTAGACCATGTGTAAGTGTAAGTGAAGATATGGCAATGGATAAAGGAAATAAGTGAGTAAGGCAAAAATGGTTAAGAGGAATAAATGTTAAAGATTGACAAAAGGAGCAAAGCCCCTTTACCATGGACAAACTGGGTTCAATATGGCAATGACATCGCATATGGTCAGTGAAAAACAACTGAAAAGYTTTAGTTTTAATACTGAGAGTTTAGTAAAAAAGTTCTGATATTGCTATTATCACTGAATTGGTAAAAAATTTGCTTTGGATTACTTTTGGGTTAATACAAATTAGAACTGTATAGGACTGATGACTTCAGAAAATAACCTTGAACTAGGTGATCAACAAGTTGAATCAGTTTGAAGATGAGCAAACATTTACCCGCAACAAACATTCTTGATGGCACTAGAGTACTCTTCAAAACACTGAGGCAAAGAGTTAACACAAAGAACTGAATGTACTTCAGCCAAAAGCACTGGCAATCTGTGCCCAAAGRGGAATGCAAAAAAGAAATCCAGACCCCTCCAGATTAATAAGTAGCCTAAGGAGATGATTAGGAATAAGCACACAGAATGAAAAACAAAGGATGGATCAGCAAGGATCTCAACAAGTGCTGAGATAAAGTGAGATAAGCTGCCAAAAGTGGAGCTGAGTTAAACAACTAAAACAATACTAAAACAAATAGAAAAAGGTTTTCCAGCTATGTACAGCATAAGAGAGCAAGAAAAGAAATAGGATCGRTGAGGAGTTATGTGATGTCATTACACAGGAATGAAAGGTAATCCAGGTAGGGCTCCAGCATTCAATGAGCGCTTCACCTCAGCTTTTAGGAGCAAAGGGTAGATACAAGGAGGAAAAAGCTGAGGGGACAAGTGTTAGCAAAGAAATTACAGTCACGAAGAAATATAATTCAAGGTGCTTAATGTACTTTTAAACAGGGAGCTGATAATCTCAGCTAACTCACAGAAAATCACAAGACCCATAACTCATATTTTTCCTGCATCACTGAAGAATAGCAACAACGTTTTCTTATATTTATGAAGGAAAAAAAAGATGGTGTACAACTGTCAGTTTGCTTACAATATAAGTCTTAAGGAAAGACTAAACAAAAACAGAGAAGCAAACATCAAATCAATTGCAGAAAAAAAAGAATTGCTATTGTAATTCACATAGATTCATTTGGTTTAACATAAGGTAAAGAAAATGTTAGACTTTGTAGTTTTCTTTGTTAAAAGATGAGACTTCTGCATGAAAAAAACTTGACTCTCATCTAATGAAGTATTGCTAGCGTATTTGGTATGTTGCCACATGCAAAATTAAAAGCAAAATGGGAGATGATGGTGTTTMCCAGAAGAATTATACAGTAGGTAGGGAAATAACATAACATGAGAGAGGAGTAGTGAGAACTGAGGTGTGCTGAACAAGAAAAGGGTCTGCATGGACTGGTTAAAATTGCTTAATATCTTCACCTATAATCTGGACACCAGAAATAGCGATGTGTAACAAAACCTGCTGTCTCTGCAAAGTTATAAACCAATGCCAATGTACAAGAGGAYTGGGATATCATCAAGAGCTGGGACAACCTTGAACGCTACAGTAACAGAAATGGGATGAAATTTTGTAAGACATGTGAGCCTCCTAGAACATCCAAACGTCTATTATTTGAGAGTTCATCAGTTTGAAATTAATTCCACTGGATCAGTTAGGGAAATGGTGTGCGAGATAATCACAGCAATGAAAGCTCAACRGAGGAAAGAGCTTGACTTGTTTAATCTAGAAAAATGGAGGCGATATGTATATATACATATATAATATATAAAACAAAATAATTGCTTTAGAAGCATAAGTCATTGGAGGGATAGTACAGATTACAAGCAGTCTTTGGCTGTGCAGAGGATCATTCCCATCCCTGTCACAGAAATGGAGTTAGCGCTGAACAAAGAATTAGATGGATCTATTGCCTATTCCATTTCAAAAGTGGCAGCCTCCTATTGCTTGTTATCTGAATTATAATGGCAGCAGAGGGTAAAGAAGGTAAGAGACAGTGAACACTGCAAAACTTTTGCAAAAATTTCATTCTCTGGAGAAGGACACTGGTGTTGAACATGATACAGGGTTCAATTTCTGGGCATGTTTGCTACAGGGAAATCCAATTCGATCTCAAATACTTTTCCCCAATTTTACATGACCAGAAAGACTGAAGAAATGTTACAGGGTAAAATCTTGGTGCTGAAGCCACCAAGGAGTGCAATAATTAGGGGCTCCAGAGGAGGGTGGGAGAGGGAAGGATCAGTTTTCCTCCCCATGGACAGCCACAATGTCAGGAATCGCTGTGGTCTTGTGGAAAAGTGGAACTCTCTGTGTGGATCAGGCGAAAACACCCAAAGGCAAAGAAAAYACCCGGTAGTTCCTTGAAGAGCTGCTAGTCCCGGCCTTTTCTCCCGGGTTGCTGGGTTATTCTGCGCTACATCCAAGGGCAGAAGCGACATCTTGTGGCCATTTGGAAAAATTCCAAGAGGAGAATAAAGCCTCAATGATGAGTGAAAAGCCAGCAAGAAAAGATCCCCTGGCTGCAATGGGAGAGTATTTTACTTCCCTTCCGCTTCCTACTAACTTCCTTGTAAAGTTAAATAAATTGTATTTTGATTATTCCTGTTTTATTTTTTTCCCTAATATAAAGGGAAAACATGCTAGCAAAAGCCAACAGCCACGTACTCTTACTATCATGCTCAACTGCAGCTGTATTCTTAATTCAAACGTTATGGCATAATTAGCCAAGATAAAGTGATCTTTCATTCCCATCAGGGACCTTATGAACACCAGCTACTCTCTGCAAGGATACAAGATATTCCCCCTTTTTCCAGTACAGCATTTTATTATTATTATTTAATCATATTTATTATGTATTAGCTATTAAATATCTACATATAGAGATATGGGGAAATCCTGAGTGATGGTCATAACAACTAAGACATTAAAAATGTGGTTGCAGGGAAGGGAGAATGAAGGATGAGGTGGATTTTAGTCTTTCCTAATTTATTGGTGCACACAKTTTCCACTACAGTGGGGAACCCTGTCTGTTTAAGTCTGCTGACGGCAAACCTGCTTAGCTACTTTTCACATGCTCTTAAAAGTACCGYAATGAGAAGTTCAGAGCAAGTTGGAAGGAAGCAGCTGGATATAAAGAAATGCAGGTTCTGCTGCTGAGCCCTCGATGCCGCTGATCATCATCAAGCTCCATGCTACAAACTGTTAATTACACATTTCTAGTTTGTACAGTTCTACATTCCCAAGATAATAAATAAATAAAAAAAGATGATGTAGATGAATAGTGATAGATACAGCAATATTCTTGTGACCACCAGAAAGCTTCTACGTGGACCTGATAGATGCAATGGAAACTTCAGGTGTGCATTTCTGTGCAATGATTTCTAAATGTCATGTGTTCGACATTTAGAAGAGGCAGTTCTGCTTGAAAAAAAAAAATGTATACATGTATGATGTGTCTGGTGATGATTAAGAAATCATCAGACCAGTGAGTCTGACAATCAAAAAAAACTTTTCTTTTTTATCCTCTTCTGCCCTTGTGACAGACTCTGCTGCATTTGGTTTCCCTCTTCCTTGCAGAGCTAAGCCATAATTTCCTTAATAGAAGCTGAGGGAGCCAGTTCTCCCATTACCGAGATGCCCACAAGTCTTCCCTGGCTGCCAGGCCTGCCTTGCCTTGGATACCTTCTTTTGGAAAACTCCTTCCCCAGCCTGTCTCCCCAGATGACCTGTTATTGGTCCATGAGGGAAATTGGAGGAGGCAGGATTGGGAGTAGCTCAGTTACCCGTTAAAACCATTTAATCTATTTTTGGTCACTTGTGCAACCTAAAAGTAAAATTCAAACTCCCCTTCTCATGATCAGTTCCTACATTTTTGGACTTCCTGAAATGCTGAATGAGAAACATGTATAAAATGCTTTTGGTACTGAAAACTGGCATGTATATGTGGGCTTGAGATAAACACTTACTAGTAAAAATACTCAGTTACTCCAGCCAGCTTTTATATGCAGAAAATGTCTGTGAGCTTTAAAGCTACAACTGTGAACAATAATAAAAAAGCCTATTCTAAATTAATCTTTGCAACAAAGCATTCTTTATCCTTTATCCCAATTGAAGAGAAGAGAAGAGAAGAGAAGAGAAGAGAAGAGAAGAGAAGAGAAGAGAAGAGAAGAGAAGAGAAGAGAAGAGAAGAGAAGAGAAGAGAAAGAAAAAAAAAAAAAGAAAGAAAGAGAGAAAGAAAAAGAAATTACATTACTAACATTCAGTGTTATACATGGACTTTATATCAAGGAGTGATTAGTGCAAGGCAACAACCTGTCTGATAAACTTGGAACCTATAGAAGAATTTCTCAAAGCTAGTGCAGGAAAGGCATAAAAGGTTCTCCTACTGCATTTACTGAAAATAGGTAGCATATAAATATACACATTTATTTATTAATTAGGGGCATTTTTTTAATAGTAAGRAGGATCTGCTTTCCGAAGAGAAGCTATGACTATAAAAACATAGCTTCTTCTTTCACCCATATGGCAGATGGCAAAGTTGCTAGCTGGAGTTTTGAATTGCTCCAATAACTGAAATCTGAAGGCCATTTACAGGCCATGGCTACACAAATTTAACAACACATAAACTATGATGGAGAATGGGAGCTCAAAGCACACCAGAAATTGTGTGCACAAGCAGGGCTACGATCCCACACTGGGCAGCTGCCACCAGGCAGGATGCCCGGCGCACGTGGCACTCACGGGAGTATGTGGTGGTGGTGGTGGCTGTGCTCTCCTGCATCCTCTGGAAGTTGTCTCTGTCCCCTCCAGGGGTTAGAGAGAGCGACCGTGTGTCCGAATCCGGCGAGTTAGTTCTGGTGTCCGCATCCCCTTTCAGAATAAGCCAACTGGTCTTCAGCTGAAGAAAATAAAATCCTGTTAAATGSGATTTAACATCTGGGTGCAGTTCTCCTGCTTCGCAAGTCTGGGAGTTCTGGCTACTTGATTTTATATTTATTCTGTAATAAACWTCTACTAAATTATATAAGTGCACTTCTTCATGTAATCCCTCAATAGATATTACAGTTAAAAGTACATAAAATCCGCCCCACTTTAAAAGATGCACCGTTTCATTTTTATTTATTCTTTGATAACATTTATCTTCTATGTTGACAAACATTCTCAGGAGAAGTCCAACCAGTCCAACCATCAAGGCACATATTTATACTAGGTGAAATTCTAGGAACTTAATACTGGTAATTTTAATATCTCTATATCTTTCTCAACTGCAAAATGTAGAGATCATGTTTTTCTATGTCTTCTTGTAAAGAACTAAAATCAGCATGACTATTTCAGTTATAAAAGGTGTRTTTTTAAATATAAACACATTTTAAAAGATAGTTTCCTCAAGAAATATCTATCCCTCCTTTGGTTCTTTCTGGTCATTACCTTCTTACTGTCTTGATCCARACTTCCATCCTCCCCTTCTGATCTTCTTGCTGCTAGAAGATAAAGTTAATGATAAAATTAATGATAAAAATTAAAAGTCATACATCTTTTTTTGAGTTTTATTTTGACTGTGACTATGTTTCATATATTCTCAAAAGTAAAAAACTAAACAAAATTGGGGAGAAAATTGGATGTGTAATGCTATGGTGACAGAATTATTTTAAATGATTTTGAAGTAACTACAGTTAATATTCATGCTGTAGGTATACAGCAAATATAATGAATCTACATTTTTTTTTAGAGCGGAGGCTACTGTTGGGGAGTGATTAGAGCAAAAATCACACATCATGACTTAAGAGTTGGATTTACATGCTCATGGCACAATGGTAGAAGTAATTTTTTTTTCTTTCTTTTCTTTTTTTTTTTTTTTTTTTTTTTTTTTTGTGGTACCATGATCATGAAAACACACATAGCTATTTAGCTATAACAAGGTCTGCATATCTGGTCCCAGTCATGTTCCTCAAGGAATGGGCAAGGAGAGTAAAAAACACAGGAAGAAATCTAGTATTACCTCTTCATTACCTCTGGAAGAGAAATCAATTTAGTATAAAGAGTGTGAAGGTACATGAGAGAGCTGACCCTCTTATGCAGCTATCATTTCACTGGCAGGAGCAAAAGTAGACTGAATCTGAATTTCATAGTTCCTTACCATCCATTTTTCTATTATGCTTCTTTTTGTTTTTTTTTTTCCTCAAAAAATATTGCTYGTATTTACTTGTTTTATTCTCTCTTAAATTTCCAACTTCCCGAGGAAAAGAAAATCCAAATGCTATTTATTAAATAGTTCCCAACCATCAGATGTGTTTTTTTATGGTTTTACATGGTCTCAGAGATTATTTAACAGAAAAGACTTGGGACAACTTCCATACCATTTCAAATAACTTTGCCAAATCTGAGTCCTACTTGCCTTCATATCACTCTGTGTTGTTCTGGAAAGAGTTTTAATTGCATAATATTAGTGTAATGCAATGATCTAGCAAAATTTTCAGTCCCAGGGAGGTTATGGTAATAGGGTGATGGTCTGCAACGCCTGCGCTTGGGAGCAATGTCAGGGCCCCACGAGACACAATGCTATCAGAAAAAATGATATAGTTTTAATTAAAAAAAGAAAAAGATAAAACAATATAGTACTAACAAAAAATAGGATAATACAAAAGCTRAGGATTGCATTAGACTGCTCAGGGACAGAGGTTAGGAGGAGCACAGATTGCACCTTTAAATGTCATGGGAGCAATCGCAGCGAGCTGGGAACAGCTCTTCCCTCTCCATCTCCCACCAGTGGGTTTGCAGAGGGTCTGTCCTACTTCTAAATGGCAGGGGCCACCTCTCGCTGTGCCACTGCTATTCTACTGCAGTTGCTGGTGCCATCACACATCTATCACACATCTAACGTCTCGACCATAACTGCGTTGTTAGAGGCGAAAATTTGCAATTTCAGTGTTTCTTCTCAGTTTAATGTGTCAAAACAAAGCTAGGTCCAAAAATAAAAAGTGTTCTGAAAAAATCATGATTTTCAAATTTAACTAATGGTAAAAGCATTCTCTTAGGGTGACACGCTATTACTCTTAAAAAGAAATAGCAAAGACTTGAACCTTGCTGCAGAGAAATATAGAAATATCCTAATTGGGGTTTAATCAGTAACAAGATGGGAAAGATGGAAAATAAAAACTCTACATTGCATTARGGCCCTAACCCTTGTTCACTGATGTTTTCAGAAACTGTCCTTGATAGCAGCCAACAAGTTGTTCTAGGTTATATGTATGGATCTACTCAGGAAATCGTAAATTCTTAGAGAAAAACTGCTACATTTTTGCAAAATATTTTTTTTCTCAAGAATTTGATGTTTTCCAAAAAAAAAAATCCAAAGTGCCATTCAGAGGTTATCCATAGGTTTCACTGGATCCTGACAGTATCTGACTTCAAACAGTGGAGCACCAAGGTCTCAGGTAGAAGTCCAGAGTCCAGCAGGGGCCTGCAAAGGCCCATCTGAAGTTCCTGACTGTGTTAAGCACCTCCTTGGGCAGACAAATCCGAGTGGAAATCTTCTGTGAGCAGCAAGCATGAGCTTCCCTGGAGCTGGGGACAGGCTGCTCTCCCCAAWCCCCAGGCATGATATGCACCTCTCCCACGGATGGCTCAGTGCTCAGCATCCAACCTCTTCCTTTTTTTAACTTYGAACTAAATTTTCTGGAAAATCCCTGCACACCAAAGAACGACCTCCCAGCTCCCACGCTCTCTACTTCCCTACGCCAGCTCAGGCTGATCGCTCGTATGCCACATTCTTCCGCTGCCTTTTTTTCACTCCAGAATTGGATGTTTATAKTAGAAACACAGAAGCTCTGGCTGCAGCAAATGTGCTGGGCACTGCTGTAACTGAAATCCTTCAAAGCCAAATGTCTTGGACAAGTTTCTTGCAGTTTTTGTTTTAAGGAACATTTTTGTGCTTGTTTGTTCAAACTGTTTCTTCAGCGAAGGAATGTTCTCTGGCTCCCTTACAGGGTGTTTTAGCCCAGTGTCCCTTCAGCCTGAGGAGCTGAATCATCACTTGTGCATGTGTTCCTGCTTTAGCAGAAATCTTTATACAACCTCTGCTGAGAGTCCTTCCAAAGCAAAAGGTAAATGCTGCTTGTCTTCCTATTGGAAGCAAAGTTCATTGCTCTATTTGTTTTTTCTTGAGTTACATCAAAATGCCATTTGGATTTGATTTAGATCACTTGGTTTAGGGAAAACTGTGTTTTCATCTTTAGTAGAAACATAACTAGCACATATTTTCAATACATCTATTCAGAACATAATATATAAAAGCAAGTTCAAAATCCATACACTTGTACTAATGAGAGCACTGACTCCATAATTTGATATTCTACTATAGTGATTAGTACTGAAGTTAGTGGACACACAACAGTGCAAAATCGACACAATCTAGTGTTTGACTGCACATCTGAGTGACTGAAAATTTATATCAATATGATATATTTTAATATGATATAAAAATAAATGGTCTGGAAGGAAAAAAGTTGCTGTTTAGAGTTCTTTTTGCAAGCCAAAAATATATATAACATTAAATGACACAGCCATGGTATATGACATTAGACAGCAGCAGCTGGTATAAAGCAATGACGTTATTCTGATTTACACTAAATGAGATTCTGACACTTGCTTAGTAACTGGCCCCAAAGAGCAGCAGCATTGCATACTCTCCTCTGCTTTCATCACCAAAGAGCCTTAGCTGGCTCTTTATTCTTCTTTTTTATTTTTTCCAGGTAGAGGATTAACTACCAGTMCAATGGAGTTTTTGGTGTAGGACAGGTTTATATCATGCTTCATTTTTTGGCCTCTGCTTCTGAATACAGGAGAATTCCAGCAGTGACACCTTTCATCAGAAATGGCAGAAATGAAGTTACTCATTTTTCAGGCACCCTGTTGCAACAAGACCTGGGTGGTGGATACAGCAGTGGTTCCCACCAGTTCTCCAGGTGCAGAAATCTCCAAATGCTGCATAACTGCCTGGGGAATGGCAAGTCCAGAGAGCTGGGAAGGCAGCTGGAGTTAAACAGGATAGCAAAGCAGCAAGGAAGCCAAGATCTTCCAAGCAAGAAAATCCCCACATTCTTGCTTTGAAAGATTAGCAATGGAATTTAGTTTAGAAAAATGAATTCTGTATTACTGTGTCTGCACCGTGAGCCAAGATCGTTGTCAAATGCCCCTAACAACACAGCAGGCACTGGCACCAACACGGAAGCTGCAGTGCTGTTAATTAGTCACATACAACAGAAATACTAGGGGAAGAATGCAAACTTGACATTTCTAATAACCCAAAAAAGAAATTGGCTTTGGTGTTAAATATTAATTAACTTTTCATTACACTCTAGTTAATTAGCAATATACTCAGGTGCTGGATTCCTATTTGAAAGCCTGAAAATAGAACGACTATAAAATCTAGATTTTCACAAGCTGGTGGTTGAATTCTGAAATAAGAGTAGCTAGTATTATTAAATTCTTTGATAGCATTTTGAAAGTTTCTATTTTACTGTTGCGTTCAAAGTACATTTTTTTACTAGAGTTAAGTTAACACAAAACCACATACCTATCATATATTTGTATCTGTTAGATACTTAGACATCAATCGTGTAGCTGGGTCAAACAAAATTTTCCGACTTTTATCTTGCTGATGATATCAGCTACAGAAAAAAAAAAGCCCTTGGCAGACATGGTGTGATTGTATTTGTTCCTGATATTATACAGCTCAAAAATCTTGAAGATGAAAAGTAGATATTTCATATATGCCTCCTAGAAATTAACTTTTTTTTTCTTTTACCCCAGAAATGTTAGAATTATTTAAAAACAGTAGATACTCCAAAGCATAATCTGTATACAAGATAGCAACACCATATTTTTTCACTCCAAAAATAAGGGAAATGTTTTCAGGTTAGTTAGGAATTATCAAATTTAAAGAGGAATTATCAAAACAAGCCAAAATATCATTATCCCAGTTACAGAGAACTTACTGAACCCTTGGACATCATGTTATATAAAGCGGTATTTAATTTTCTTGTTACTTCTTTTCCATTTTAGACCATAGGGATTCTAGCGTAACAAAATGCAAACACTCCAGCCAAGCAGTTCAGCACTCAATACACATTTCTTTACAAAGATGTGGAGCAAAAAGTGCAACAGAGAAAAGCAGACTGTACCATGCTGTTTGTAGATAGGAGGTTTCCTATAGATGTTATCTTTTACTCCCGTTTCTGAGAAAGAGGAAAGAGAAAGAACAGAAGAGTAAGCAAGCAGCTTAGACCAGGTTGCTCCTGTGCCCTCTCCTCACTGAAACGCAAACTTGTGCAAGGGCCGCTCAGTCATTCACCATTTTGTTATTCACTGGTCACTCCACAAGAAGGAGTATTGCTCATCATCAACACATATTTAAATCATTTGACTATGCCTGCCTAAAGAGTCTAATCTACTCTTCAAAATAGTCCTTCAAAATGCTTTAAAACACCCCAAGTGGCACCCATTTACTGGTATGTAGATGGCCACATCTGAGCTACAGATTTCTACTTCATAGTCAACTGAGAAACTGGCTACACCTATCACTACATCACGACTTAACATGAAACGTGTATCATTGTAGGAAAGTCTTTGGCAATAGTCACACCTGAAAAGGGAGTACTTCTCTATTAATTATTAGAGAGTGCACATGTTCAGATATAGAGGTTTATACTAGAAATAATAGCAGTAGAAATACTAGAAATCCTTCACATGAAGTTACATAGCTTGTCTATAGCTGGAGCTGTAGAACTGAGCTGGCCTTCCAGATATTTTTGGTAACCCCTCAAGGTCACAGTACTGGATTCCCATAGCATGTTGTATGGATGTCAAAATTAGGCCTATGGACTAGAGCAAATACAATTCCTAATTACAATGTGCTCATAGGAAAGTCAGTCCCCAAAACTAAATATTAATATACTATTCCACTGCAATTCCTAATTACAGTGTGCTCATAGGAAAGTCACTCCTCAAAACTAAATATTAATATACTATTCCACTAAGCAGGTAAATGGGCTTAGCCCTGAAAAAGCTAAACAGCGTACACATAAATTCTTGTGCTTCTAAGCTAAATGTAAGCTTGAAAATGGTACAGTATGTATGCAAGGAAACAGTTATTGTACGGTGGCACAAAGCTTTTCATCTGTTTCAATAACGTATACATTAACGTGACTCTAATTCAGAGTGTAGACAGATACGGGAAAAACAAAAATAAAATCAAAAACATCCTCCAGCCTTTCCTCCTCCATTCAATAGACTATGCAGCTGTGGCACTAAAAGCAGTTGTATCCTTGCAGGTTTAATAACATCTGTCACTCTATGCCTCAACTAATGCAAACTTTTTTATACATAATCACACAACACACTAACTCCTCTATTTCTGAGACAGTGTTTAGCAGGTAACAGCCTTGCACTCATCAGAAGTTTTCTTTGTGCAGCTCTTAATTTCACAAATCAATGAAAAAAAATACAGTTAGAAGAGAATAAACAGGTGCCAGCAATTGAGGATCAAAAGCAAAGCAGTGAATGCCTACCTGGAATATGGAAATGCCTAGGAGCCTGCTGATAGACAGAAGGTGAAGATTTGCTGTCTGAGTACATGGATAAACTTGGAGTGCTCCGACCACTTTCACTGCCTCCAAGGGGAAGAGCAAAGAAAGCAGATAAAAGAAAAAAAATGGAAAGCAAAGTAGAGTATTTCAAGCATAAAAGCTTGTTCAGAATGACTTGTTAATCCAACTTCTTAAAATAAATGGGTTGTGTAAAAAACACTATTTTCCAGCACAGCAGTGTATTGGCTCAGTCTCCAAAGAGAATGAATTTTAGTTTTCAACTAGCTCATAAATAATAAATCCTTATACTATCAGATTAAACTGCAGTTTTGCACCCCCACTTCTTTTAAAAATACTTTAATGCAGAAAATAAAAGGATAAAAACATCCATAATCCTATAATATGTTTTACATAGCCTTAAGTGAATAATCTAGCAGTCGAGTTTTTGAGAAGTTTAATGCTATGGCTTATACCATTATACCCTGCTCTTAAAACCATTAATGAATAAATTGCCTAAAGACAAGACTAGACTAATATTATGGTTAAATGGATAGATGCTCCTGGATCTATCTATGACAAAAACAGACGCTGAAATCTGGTATTCGTTGAACTAAACTTTCCCCACAGGTAGCATGCCACAGTTATTTATGCACATTTATGCAAACAGGGTTGGATTATCAAGTCATGGATCTATAATGCCATAGCCACTTGGCAAAATACTAAGGTATACACAGCATTGAGGTATATTTTCTCTTATTTCATCAGATACTCATTGGCGCTATTTATTTCCTCTCCATTTATTTCTCCAAAATTCTATGGCATTATAGTGCTGCTTGGCAAACAAAAAAGTAAAGCTGTACTTTTTTGGGACTTGTAAAATCCAATTAATTTCTAGCACTGTTAAGCAACTGGAAGCCAAACATGACACTTACTTTAACATAAAACAGTTATTTGCTGTTACAGTTTTAGTATAGATGGAGCACAAACTTAATGGATATTAATGATGAAATTATAGCAAGTTCTTTGGGGGAAAGAAAGCAAAACTGCTCAGAGCGTTGGATCTATCACTGAATGCTGATCTGAATGAAGGGAAGGGGGGTTACTTATTGTGCTCTTTATCTTATGACCATTAACTAATCTGTTGTGCCTATTATTTCCACAGTTGGTGCAAAATTATAACTCCAAAATTATCGAGCCATGGCCATCGTGTCCTCAATAACAACAGCTTCCAGTTGGAAAAATACCCCAACAACACTCTACAGAGTAGCTTAAAAATTGAAATTACCACTGCACATGATATTAGACCACCACTCTTCCACAAAGAGTTAGAGAATGACTGTAAATCTGAAGCAACACCAATCCTGTAGCCAAACTGTCCTTGGACAAGGTACCAGACAGTTATTCAGGTTGTTGATCCCTGTTTTCCTCTTGGAAAGAAACCCTTGGTGGCAGTTTTCACTATGTTGTTATTATTTCCCTTATTCTTTGCTGCTTGCTCCTCATGTGCTAGAGCCCTACCTTATTAAAGAGGAGGAAGCCTTAATTTCACTCTAAATTGGACATCAAGGAACATGCTAGTTACTTTTTAAAGCATAGTCCCTTACAATGCCAATAAGTAAAAATCTTGCAGTGTCACTCATCTCAAAGCGATGTTTCTCTTGGAAAGTTTAAATTAAACAAGAAGAATTTTTTCAACTGATTGTTGCAGTGTAATTATTCTTCATTTATTTAAAATTAGCATATTAGTAAAAACCCTTATGCATATATGACCAATATGAATAGTCACTTTATCACCCCAAAATGAAGACGCTGTACATATACAAAAAGTTATGCTTTGGCAGTGGGCTGTCAGTCAGGCAGTCAGTATTCCGGGAGTCAGGAGAACTGATTAGGAGGATTAAACTTGCAAGAAAACAGGATGCAAGCACATACAACAGAGGGCAACATACCTGCAAACTACTCTAGGCAAGGTTAATCTGCATGGAGATGTTTGCAGAGCCATCACATAAACTTACTCAAAAGGGAAGAATAAAGGGTGGAATGAGAGGAAAAAAAAAAGGTTCTTCTTGAAACCCCCTCTGACAAGGTATAATCAGTTAGATTGTATTTAAAATTCTGCCACTTATTTGGTCAAACACAAATGAGTAGCTGTATTTCACATTTTGAACACAAATTATTTGGTAATAAAACAAACTGAAGGTCCAGATAGGAAGTTTATGCGTAGAAAATCCAGATAGGCATTTAATGCACCCTACAATAAAAATCTCTAAAATGAGACTTCCCCACAAATTTGTCCTACGCTTTGCCCAGCAGACACGAATGAAGAGCTTCAAATAAGATGTCAGGGAAAACAAAACTACTGGAGTGAGCAACTTTTCAAAGTTCTGGTTTGGTCTCCTGCCACCGGCAGCTGCAGGCGGGGATCTGAGCTGCTACTCGGCACGGGGCAGAGAACCGGAATCATGAACTCTTCCCGGGAGACTGTTTTGTTTAGTTTGGAAAGAGCCTGGAAAGGTTTCCTTTGAACTTGAGCATCAACCACAGAAAGCCTCTTGTGTCCCTTGGCTCCTGACAAGACAGGCTGCCCTTTTACCCTCACGTACAGGCAGCAACTGCGCAGATCTCCAAGCCTGGTCCCTTTTCATCCTGCTCAGGGGATTGCCAGGGAACAGGATAATGTTTATACCTCCCTCCTCGTCAGCTTTTATCTTATCTGGGAAGAGAGGAAATTTAATAACGATTTTGCAAATTCATTAAATAGCTAGAAAGTTGCAGTGAGAGTTTTGCAAGTTCTCTGACTGAGGATGAACAGACACTGCTGACCTAAAAGGGTTGATGCCAGAGGTTATTCCCCAAACTGGATCATTTAGGATATCAGTTGCATGAAGCTAGACAAAGATACCCCAAGCCCGATAACTTACGCTTTTCAAACTTTCAACACCAAATAAACAGACTCTGGAAGCTTTGCTCATATCCTAGAAGGGAAAGGCACTTTCCACCACTTTTAAGTGGTTTTTTTTTTTTTTTTTTTTTTTTTTTAGTAGGATTCAACACTGACTTTATGCTCACTGACTCCCTCGCTGCAGCTGAAAGAGTGACACCAAGTGTGATCACTCTGAATATCATTCACACCCTGGCCTCTGATGGGCACAAGGGACTGTGATGCTTTCCTGATGCAAGAATCTAGTTCCTTCTTAATTTTGAAGGCAAAACCTCATGATAAGGAAGAGCTGAACCTTTTACTCTCCTGATATCCAGACTAAAGGGTACAGAAGAAAGAGCGGAAACTGAGTTATCATATTCTTGTAAGAGAAATGCAAAACTACGTCACTCTTGGGAACAGTAAGATGCTAATTCAGTGAAGTCAATAGGTTATGACTGCTTTAATTTTGCTAGGATAATGATTTCTCTCTCCTAGAAATTTAAAGAAAGATTTTGTATGATGATTGTGGAGAGCTGGCTTTACAAAGATTAGATGCAGTGTTATTAACCAGGTTGTTATTATTTTTAAGAGCATGATTTCACTTCTTAAAAACGGAAGTGGCAACATTAACCTTGGTCTGCAACAAAGCAACTATTCTTATGATTCCACTCTTCCCACACTAACCAGTTAGAAGACAAAAAAACAGCACATCATCACCCTCAAAAGGCTTATGAAGGTAAGGAAAGAAGAGCACCTTCATCTCAGAGCAAAGGATCTGGAGAACAAAAAGAGGATGGGGACAAATCTTCTCACTCCTTTTGGACGGAGACATTAGCTCAGAGGAAAACAATTGGCAATCTGTGCAATCCCTTCAGGGCCCAGCCTTATATATATGGATATATGTTACATATCCATCCACATACAATACCTATACTCCTCACAGGAGTGCTGTGGCACAGGAGGCAGGAGCTTGCATTATGATTTTTAGCTCATTGATAAAAAGTGCTGCAGAAATGCCAAATACTGTAATTTTGACCAGTCTACTAATAACTGTTTGGGCACTAGCAGGATCTGTTTCTCCAGGCAGGAGCAATAGGTAATTGCTGCTGCTCTGAGCAACAGCAGGTAGCACCACGTGGAGAGCCACTTCAGTGCGAGTGCTGCTAGGCAACTGCAGAGGCTTTGAGGTAAGAGTGACTCAATTCTGGACAACAGCATTTAGGATTGGACAACTGGACAATTTCAATATTTAGGGTATCCACAGAAAATCTGTGGAAGCCGTGCCTTGGGGAACTCCACGATGTACGTCAGCCTTCCCCAAAATGTGAGCATTTGCAGGCGTGGGAACAGGTCAGAGTTGAACGGCTTTTCCTCCAAATTCAGAAGACTTTTGCCTGATTCTGCTCCATGTATTCCAGTGAAATTCATCTGACTTCTTTGAACAGAATTGCTTCTGGATACATTAGAGCCCAATCAAGATGCGCTAGCTGTTTTTCCAAAGGCAAGGAGCATCTGCTACTCATTTGAGTTTGTATGTTAGACCTGCTCATAAGTCTGGCTCCTGCAGAGGGTCACTTCCTTTCCAGTAAGGGTTATGATGGCAAGAACAGTTTTGTTTTATTAATTCAAACAGGACATGAGAGAGTGGGAAGGGTCATTGGGAATGTCTGCCACTCATGTCTCCTCTCTGCTCTAAGGACAGGCTCAGGGGAGGACATGGTGGTTGAATGTCATTGCTTCCACATATTTGATTAACTGGCCAAACAAAACCAGCTTTTGCCTAAAAGGTTAATTGTATTTCCCCATTACTGCCTCCTCTCTGCAAAATGGGAGTCACTAACAGCTAATATCCACTGCAGAACATTTTGATGGTGATAAGACTCAACACAATCAAATGTTTTTTAATATATAACACAGATACTTTGCTAATCATTGCTGCTACACTGGTTTAACTGTCTTACCTGCCATAATTTCTGTTTATAATACAAATAATAAACATAATCCCTAAATGTCATTTCAAAGGTTAAATAATTGACTATCCATTGTTGGAGCCAACGGAGCCAACATTTATTTTGGTTCACCAAAATGGGGAAAAGGTAAACACTTTATCCTAGTATGAACAGAATTTTAGATTATTTCCATTCCTCATTTTCATTAGAAATTCATTAATTCCTTCCCTCCACCCCTTTGAGAAACACTTAGCGCTCATAAAAAAAAAAAGGCAAAAATAAGACAACCCATACCTACTCCGTTCTTGCAACTTACACAGTACATCAAGAAAGCACTTGCACAAAATTAAGACAAATTTTATCCAAGTGTAAGCCATGCTTGCACGAACATAAAAGTGAAACACATCTGAATAGATCTACAGTTATCACAGCACGGTTTTGCATTCCTGAACCTTACCTTTGAAGAAAGGGATGTAATGATGTCTGAATGTAGATGTAAGGCTTGGGTGTTGGGGCAGGGAGATGCAGCTACTGGTACCAAGAGTCTGAGTACCAGCTGGGGGCAACAGAGAGTAAGTGAAAATAGACTATTTAGTTCACTTACTGAGAGCCACAAAGTAYAATGCCATTTTCTTTTTCAGGAACATTTTCCTCCTGATGCTTGGAAAGTGTATAGTTTATATTTAAGATTTAATCTTTCTAGTTATTCCTAAAATCACTGTAGTGGCCATATTATGTGGCTGGCCAGGGGTAGAGACACAGATAGAAAGAGAGAATCACATAAAATGCTGCTAATGTAATGCATCAGAAAATATTCCAGAAAAGGCACCACAAAGAGCATAGCTGCACTCAGGGGAAACTCTGCATATTCAAAAGCTGCAAGAGTGAATGATATATGTTTATAATGGATCTAATGGAATGAAATGGGCAGAGCCTGTGCTTTGGTGAGAACTGTGCTACAGGAGGGTTCAGTTCTCAACAACATCAGTGCCTATTGGAGGGATTTGGTCTGCAGAGCACSAGGCCTCTCAAGTGCATGGCCAGCTTTAAGCACTTAAAAGAACATCCTGAAGTTATTTGAGCTCTGAAAGTTAAATGTGTGGTTAAGCACTTCAAAAAACTTTCTCAAAATCATCTTTATTTGTTTTCTTGGTTGCAATAATGTCCTGTTAACAATATTTTCCAGAACTAACTTTATAAAAACGTCAATTACAATAGCTACCCTTGAAATTTTCATTAAAGTTGTAGAGCATTAGAATTAATCTGGAATTTCTCCCTGCTTTAATAGTGTGCAGCTAAGCTTCCGCATGACACAACTGCCAGATCTTCAGTCTAATTTTCTCTCTCTTCAACAGATCTTTGATACTGAATCTAATTTCCAGCTCATCAAAGACTTTATATAGTACAAATATTCATTTCCTGTAAAAACTGTTTCTGTTACCCATATAATTTAGAAAGATGAAGAACTCTGGATTTTTCAAATTTGTTTATAATTTTAATGTATTCCTAATGATATTAAAAGACTTTGAGAAAATAACAGAAWTTTTCTGTGTTTTCAGTTCAGATGATGGAGTGGAGAAAAGCTGGAAAGAATTTTGAGTAAATTAGCTGGCTATTTTTAAAGGCCACATTCTTCATAAAGTCCAAATATGASCTGGCCTTTGTAAGAGGGCACCCATGCCAAGATTAAAAGAGGACAATTTCTCCTCTCTGTGCAACTGGAACTTCAACATGGCTGCTACTATAGTAGCCCAAAGCTGTAATAAACATTTCAGTAAGGTTCTCAATTAAAGGACTCCAGCCTTCAAAAACCAGCCCGCGAGACTGGTTTTTGGCCTTGGCCATTCCTCCAGCTCTTCCTCTGAACTGTGGTGCAGAAAGCCACCATGGACTATAACCCTGTGGTACAGCAAGAATAGGAAGTCCCTCAAGCACCCGCGTGACTTTGTGCACTCACTGCTACCATGATGCATGGTGTAAGAGCTGTAGTTTGACTGTGCAGTTTCAGGAAGGATGGGATCAGGATCGAGTCCTTTTTATTACATAAAGTTTTGTTTTCAGATACAAGTTTTCTAGATGTCTGTCTTTTTTTTTTTCCTAGATGATCCCACCTGAAGCATTTATCTCCTCCTTTTCCCATGTTACATTAAACATAATACTGCAATGAACCACTACTCCACCTAAACACTGCCTGTCAGTGTCTTCTCTACTTACAACATAAGAATAAATAGAAGGAACATCTAGAGCATAAATAAGGCTGCTTCTCAGATACCTGGTCTGCTGTAATGCTGAGGAGAATGGGATGTTGGAGTGTAGCGACCATAACCCACAGAGCCAGTAGAACTAGGACTCGATGTCCTGTACTGTTTGAAAGATCTATCATCTTGGTCACCCTGAGAGCAAGAGAGAAAAGCATAAGTCATTATGAAAGAGAAATCACTTTCAAAACAGGCAGAATTGGTCTCTTTTGGTGCCTTGAAGAAAAGAACTTGAATCTGTCGTAATGCTTCATGCAATCCCAACAAAATCAGGGCAGCTTTCAGCCATAAGCACCTCCACTGCAGTATCATTCAAGGACCTGTGCAATTGCCAAATATCAGAACCTGGTCATGTTAATTGGAAAGGTAACACGTAAATAAATTTAAAGTGAAAACACCGTTTAGAAAGAACAGCAGAAYAGCTCATCATAAAAATGGTGTTTTAGCACCATGCAATTCCCCACTCTCTTCCACCTTCCATATTGTTTTAACAAAAGCAAGTGACAGATGAGATCGAGTRGCGTGGTTATACTGTGTTCACTTTGCATTTGTGTGACTGGCTACATAATACAGTGAAATGATTACAGACAACAGAAAACCAGCACTCACTGGCTTGATTACCTCACAAAATCTATTTGCCTGCTGTATAAACTGCCTAGCATACTACCAATAAAACATGGTTATTATCAGCAAAGTAACTGATATAAATATGGATATACAATGTTAATATATAAAACTAATACTGTTAAATTGTGCAATGTAAATCACATAACCTCCTCCAACTAAAAATTTGACTTTGACAACTTAAAACTATGTACATCCATTAAAAACCCTCCATCTCTGTTGCTAGTTAAATTATAAATTCAATTATCACGTAGTGTCTCCTTAACAGGAAAACCATTAATGAACAAATTAGATGTGGAAATGACTTCATGGAAACTAGGTACAAAACCAAACTCAATTATCTTGTTTCTTTTTATACAATTCAGAAATGGCTTGAGCGAAGTCCAAATTAGAACAAACCTGAGCAGCCCACGGATCCTCCCTAACATAAGGTCATACTCCAAAGATTGCTTCCTTCACTCTTCCGGTAGGTGCGAGTGAGGAACATGTTATCCCAGAGCAGCTGTCAGGAGCTTGTCATGACCAGGACATCTCTAGGTGATTGCATGACTCCCACTGGATTGTTCACTGTTTATAGAGATGGAGGATCCTACCCGGCTACATCACCACCTTCCAGATTCCGATGAGGGCAACTTAATTATATCCATCCATTCATCCKAGGTTCTTCCTGCCTGCAGTTCCCACCAGGCTGCTCTGCAATTATCCTTGAATCTACAGAGATGTAAAATGTTCTTCTATCCCAGCTATCAGTTCCTTTCCTCTGGCTCATAAGTGCTTCGTCTCCTTCACCTCACCCCAAGCTCACTTAGCTATGTTAAAAAAAAATAGAAAACCAGTTTTGCATTGTGGTAAGTGGTATTATTACTTAAATATCAATTTCCAAGTAAATAATAATAAAAAAAAGTCCAAAAAAGGGAGTACAACCCATGTCTTCCTAGGCATGTAGCACCTTATAGGCATCCTGCCACCAACTCCTCCAAGCCCCGAGATATTTCCGTCCTTAAGTAGTCGCGTTATTTAGTAGCTCTTGCAAACCCCTGCAAAAAAGTAACTAACTCCTACAAAAAGAGTAGAGCAGTGTCTCCGCAAAGTCTTGCAAAGCTTTTAAAATACCATAAGAATGTCAGTTCAAAAGCATCATTTATAAAGTGTCCCACTGTATAATATACTGGAATTTTCTGCTAATAAAATCCATGCAACAAACTTGTTGACACAAATTTGCAGATGCCTGAGCACCTGATCAGACTCCTTAGAGAAAGGGAGCAAACATGGAAAAGCTGGATAACCTGGGAAAATTCATACGATGTGAATCACAGCTGGATCAAGCTCCATATCAACAACACTTCTGGAACTTAACACTATGATAGTTAGCTAACAAAGACTTTATTCAAAGGAAATTATTGTAATTCTGAAATATCAAGACTTTACACTGATAATTTCGAACCATACTTTTGTCTCTGTAAGGAATAGTCAACCAAGTTGAAGAAATCCACTCYTAAATATAGTATGCTTTTATTTTTAAGCTATCAAACAGATTACATTTCTATTGCTTAACTYTTCTTTTTGCTSAATGCTGACAGTGCCCACTGGTGAATTATAAGCCTTAATCGAAATTCACCATTTCTTGTTACACCTTATTCTCCACTGTTATTGCTTGTTTTTCATACATTTCTGCTAACATAAAATTGGGTAACAAACTCTCTCTAATGTTCAGTTGAGTTCACATCTGGAAAGATATGTCAAATTCTTTCACTGCTTCTAAAGTGATACTGTTGGAAACAGAATTGACTGKTTTTGACCATTTATGTCCATTGGAAGAAACAACCATAAAAATTTAGATAGGTACAGAAAGTTTATCTTTAAAAAGCTTAACTGCGTGTACAAACAGTGCAGATAGTTTAAACTATTTGTGAAATAAATAAGTAAATTAAAAGAGAAGAGAAAGCTTTGCCAAGCAACAAGGTCAGCTCATGCTGATAGCTCTAAATGTAAAACCAAATGATGCTTCTCCATGTAGTTTACTTAGGAGAGCCCAAAGAAGCAAACGCAGTACAACCTTCCCTTCAGGAAGGGGAAACATGGGTGGCAGTGGCAACAGATGCACACAGATGACAATCCCAAAGCAGAGCATGTTTTCAGCCTAAGTAACACAATTTAGAACAGAAATGGCAAGACCCCATGCACTGTCCAGGCTGGAGGCAAGGCGCTCATTGCAGACTCTGCTGCTTATCCCTGYGGCAGGGTTTAATGCATCACGAAATGGGTGAGAACGGGAGAAGACAGCAATTGGGGATTACCTCAGTAGGTGTTGGAGAGAGCAACTGAGGTGACTGCAAACAGCAACACACAAAGTCACAAATTAGTGGTTAAAATTCATGCATGATGTTACTTGTGAGAACAACTGCTCTTAAAATAGCAATATCCATGTATAACTCGATACCATTAAGAGCAACACCTGTCAATTAAGCTTGTAGTATTTTTCTTTTTCTTTGCTTTTCATACAAGATGATGAAGAACAAACTGTAAATCCCTTCATAAATAGCTTTTGCTGATCTTATTGCTGTGAAATCCTGTGGTCAGGCCTGTAGCACAGAAAGCAGCATTTGAACTACCAAAACTCACTCTTAAAGACAGTTGCCTTAAAGACACAAGCTCTAGCTGATTTAAGGCAGCTTAACCTTAAGTCCTTTAAATTTCCCCACACACTGGATTCAAACTTTGTGACTTAGGGTTGGATCTATTTTAAGAAAAGACAAAAATAACTGTATTATATATTTTTTAATTAAAACTATGTAATTTGACAACTTGCAGTGTTACTTGAGCATAAATCTACCACCAAAATTGCTGGAGTTACAGGCGCATCTGAGATGCTAAAATCTGGAAGAGAGTCTATATCAGTAACACAAAAATATAAAAATTTGGAGCTGCCTAAGAATGCACATCAGATTGAAAGTTAAAGCCCAGACCCCCTTCTTGGTGAAGCACCTAGGAACAGGTGACCGATTCCTACTTTACCACGCATTAAGATATTGCTGAGGTATTGCCAACATGCATGCCTATGTTTGCAGACCTGCTGGAGCCACCTTTGAACTGGTGGCACAAACCTGGGGGAAGAGCAGATGCGGCAAGAACCACATCTGCCATATCTGCTGATATTAGATAGGTTCAGGACTAGGCAGCCGCTAAGCAGAAGCTTTCAGTTTCATAAATCCAGAAATCTCTTTATGAATTTCATAAATTCATAAATTCAAGACCATTAATGTCCTTAACCAAATGCAATCCTGATTCTTTTGGTGTTCACTGTAACGGAGCTGCTTTGGTTCAGCATTGTGCAGAGGGGACTTGTGTGGCCCTTCATGTGAGAGCAGCTCAGTGGACCTGAGTGGAGCTCATTACGGATGAAATGCATGAGCTGTTGCTGGGGCTATTATTATATATTATTAAATATTATTATTCATAATATTTATTTCTACTCTCCATTTACATCTACATTGAACAAAGCAGACTTATCTAATATCTCTAATAGAACTGAGAGGTTTAGATTTGTAAAAAAATATGTCTTAAATCACAAAAGAAATTAGAAATTGAAACAAAAGATCAGGGAAGAAAGGCCCACTTGTACGACAGGAGTTATTCAAGCATGTTTCACATAAAACAGAATTAGTACTAAATAAGATTAAGTTAAATTAGATTTCATTAGGACAAACTGCATAACATCAGCTCTGCACATGAAAAGGGTGAAATGCAGGCATGACATGAGGATGAACTTTTAAAAAGGGACAGCTGAAAGAAATTTGTGCATACACAAGTGATACCCTTGTGGTTTTACCAAAATAACATAGTACACTTTAAAAAAGCATGAAAGATATTTGGCTTGGTTTCTGATTTTTGCATTATAATTAGCAATTGTTCCTGTTTTTTACCGCATGCATGTACAACTCCTCTCAGTGAAAAATATATTTTCACTACATGTCATCTATTTAAAAAGAAAAAAAAATCACAGAAAGCAATGCATCAATTCCCATGAGCTAAAAACTTATTTCTGAAAAGGCTAAAATGCCTTAAGAATGATTGAATGACATGACCCAAATAAGTGAATTTGTGAAAGATTTTTCTTTTAAATTATGCACATTTAAGAGTGTTCAGCAGCATGTTTAATGATCATAAAATTCCATTAAAAATGAAAAAAAAATCAAATTCACAGTAAAAAGATACCCATGATTCAGTACCTCCCCATAACTATGCCTGTCATCTGAAGAGTAACTGATATATGGAGAATAGGAGATCATATCTGGGCGGTCAATGTTATAGATGGCTTTATTTTTAGGAAGAGCAGCCAAATCCCTGTAGTCAAGAATTTCATCTCCAAGCTTTGCCTAAGAAAAGGAGGAAAGAAAGAAGTGAGGATAAGAAGGAATACGGTCAGGATGCAATCAGAAAAGGACAGATAAATGGTGTTAGGAAAATCAATCAACATATTAATAAACCACCTTTTTTATTTGTGAGAATTTAAATATCTTATGTTTACAACATATTCCAAAATTACTCTTATTTTTATATACTGGGGTTTTCTACTTTGTCACTCAGATTTAGCTAATAAAATTAACATGRTCTTATTGTAGTTCCCTTGGTTATATCCTTCTTACAGTTGGATGTACAGACAGATACATCGGGCAAATATTGCAGTCTTTCTCAGGCTAAATGTCCTTGATTTTAAAGTGTTTTTGGTGTTCAGGGCTCCCCTACCAGAGGTTGTAGTGAATAATCAGAAATGTATTTCCAATATATACCCTCTAGATACTGGAAAACATCATGCAGACCTTTAATCCTCTTTGTTCAGCTGAATCCCACAGCTTCATCTCCCTTTCTGACTATTTCTAAGTAGCCCTTAATTGTTGATCACAAAACCAGCAGAGGTTGGATTTGTACCATGATGCATTAGTTCAAGAAGATCAGATGCAGTTCAATCAGATGCAGTTTAAGTTCTCAATTCTTCCATGAGAGTCACACAGTCACCACAGGGAAGAAATCTCTCTCTCCTTGGTAGTTGTTTCCTCTCCGTTGTATTTGCTGCCCTTATTTCAAAAGACAAACTCTCCAGCTACACATTTTCACAGTTAGGATAATGATAACGTGCACTAAAACTATATCCAGCATTACAGCCTTGTAGATATCATGACAAGTTGTCAGGGGAGAAATGGGCAGCATAATTATCCTATTCCCTGTTCAGGCTTTGCAAAATAGTAAGTTTTTTCTTGGCAGCAAAACGGTAAATAGAGGGTAGCAAATCTCGTTATTCTCTGAGAATGTCAGTACTACCTGCTCTAAAACCATCATGTTCTCCATGTGCCAAAAAGAAAATAATCAGGAGTTAACCAATATTTGAGCAGTGATTATTATTTTTTTAAAACATAAGTGCAATAGACTTTCCAGGGAAGTGCTGGGATTTAGTGAGCTACAAAGTAGAACGTCTCATTTATCATTTTTCTAAAACAGTGCAAGAATTTGTGCAAAAGTATGGCCAGTTRGCAATATGTTAGCAATATGGAAAGGAGGAAGATGTTTCCTAATTATTGAGGTGGAGAAAAAAAAMAAACAAAACCCCATAATCATCACAAATTCTCATCTTAATATATACTAATGAAAAAAATGTGTTATAATCAAATAAATGATTTTAAGAGTTATCTATAAACACTGAACATCGATACACAAGTGTGAATTATAGTCATTTTAGTCCTTGTCTAAGGACCAACAYGGAGCAACATGGAATCCTCCAACTACAGACTTCAGCACTGTCAGTGACAAGAGTTACCGATCTCTATAACTCCTTTCATTTTAAACATCCAAACATGGGCAAAACCAGATTTTTTTTTAAAAAATCCTTCATTTATGAACACTTCACTTATAAATTTTTCATTTTATTTGTTCTACCTACTTTCAAATAGATGAATATTATTTAAATACAATTTGGTTACCATTTAAATACTATTGGAGAAGTCTCTGATTACAGTAGAGACATAAAATAATTTCTTCAATAAATTAGTGTTTTCAGGTCTGTTAAAATCATGCTCTAAGTTTAGAATATCTGTTTCATTTGGAATACGTAATGTTACAATTGTACAATTGCAAATATGATCCTGTACAACAGTATAATGTGATTTCTATTCCTAATATGAGAATGTACAGCTACATGACCTAAACTAATCCTTCCAGTTAGATACATCTCTGTAGAGAGCTTCTAATTCTAAAATTTGTGTAAAATTTGRCTAAGTATATATATGAAAAAAAAGCCTCTTATTTTAGTGTTATTTAATGGCATAATGTAGAAATTAGCTGTTTTTATTTTTTAAGTGGTATTTTGGGCCTCCGGGGAAATTCTGAACTGGAGTAAATTCCCAGTTGGATGCAATCTAGACAGAACTGAAGCTAATGAAAAGATGCCCTCAAAGTGCTTTGGCTTGAGCCCTCTTCCAGGGCAAGAAGCCACCAAAGTCTGATATCAGCTGAGGGAGAAAGAGAGTGCTATGTAATTTGGCTTTAGTATATTTATTATATTTGGCTTTAGTAATTGGACTGTATGAACCATGAGCATGTTCGGTCAAAACAGGCTTTCTTCAGCTTTGCCTAGCTGAGCACTAAAGCACAACCCAGAAAGCTGCCTCCCGTGAGGCCACCTTGTCGTTCCCAGCATTCGTACTGCTCTGGTTTGACACCTTTGAAAACACATGGGTTCATGGCTCCTGAGCCTCAGCTGTTTTCTCCACATGCTGTTTTCTCCAATAGGATCCTTTAAAGAGCTCTCCATGGTTAAGGTACAGACTTACTGCTGGTTTAAATAATCCAAATCCATGCTCCTGCTGAAGTGGCTGTCCTGTGGGCACCTTCCCTCTCTGCTGCTACATTAACATTAAGGTCAGGTAGACAACTGGATCTTTGTTTGGTCTCCATGGTTCTGACTGACCATACTCCTGTGTCCCTACCAGTACTAGCACTTAAGAGGAGCAAGGACATGGGGCTGGGAGGACACGCTGGCAGGACCTTCCTTTACGGTGACAGTATGAATTTAGATTTGGCTAAACCTATCATGAAAATGCACCTGAGCTGAATGTGGAACACGTCTGTTTGTCTAACACTTCTGTAATTAAAGACAGATGCAAAAGACAGCCAAAGAATTGTTTTCATGATACAGAAGTCCAATAATATATTTTTAATTCTCTTTACCTTTTCCTTCTTGAAAGCTGAAATGGGATTTAATCAATCTCACTACTTACTGACAATTATGTGGCCATAAAAGAGACAGATATAGCAAGAACCCACATGCCTCTGGGGAAATCTTTTTTTCCTAATTGACTCATATTTGCTAGAGAACTTTATTCTTTCACAGTCCCAGCTGCCTCTAAAGATGTATATTACAATAAGAAACATTAGACTGTGTGCTAACTTAATGATATCCTTTGAAAAAAAAGGAAAAAACAGAAAAAGAAAATGGAGTTTTGTCCTTCAGTGCAAAACAGCCTGTGAAGCATATTTAAAGAAGTAATCACAAACATCAAGAAAAACAATGCGATTAGTTAAATGCCACATAATTCTTAGAAGAATATTCTTACTTATAAAAACAATAGAATGACACATGGCTGGAGAAACAGAGACCATCTGGCCCCAGAAAATGCTTACATTATAAAAGTCTGTTAGCACAATGACTTGTCTTCATAATGACTGTGGCAATTACCCTTTTTTTTTTTTTTTTTTTTTTTTACTGGGCATATGTCTCTGCAACCCACCAGCATGGACTACTTCTGCTTGAAGGARTACCTAGAAATACTGATGAGCCTCTATTTAGGGGATAGTTCCTACAGCTTTAACTCAGGCTTACTGAGATAAAGTGTATATTGAATTTAAAAGAAATTCTATCTGAAGAAAGAAGACAAATCTGATTCCAAGGCATTGTTCTGCCTTTTTCAGTGTAGTAAATAAAAGACCTCAATCTCAGTTCAATAACCCCTCTGGCAGTCAGCTGCAGCTCCAGCAGTTTCTCTGCATATGGTATTACTGGTTGAGAATGACTTGCCTTCCTGAGGGAGGCTGGATAGGAAGAAGAGGACAGTCCTGGCAATACTGAGGTGCTCAAAGAGATGCTTGTATGGAGCATGCCATAGCTGTGGATAATTTGTACATATTCAAGTTATGATCTTACCCATTTTTACCCAATTTTAATTTACCCATTTTCATTTTCTATGGTACTCTGAGATGAACCTGTTATTGAAAAAATACTCATCATCAGTTTTTATCATATCTGTTCAGTTACTTGAAGTCTCTTTGAAGAGCTTTCCAGAACTAGCACTTGTTAGATCAGAGACAAGGGTCCTCTGAAGCTAGGGACTGAAGCTTGTCAGGGTCTGAATCCTGTAATCATACACATGAGTGCTTTCATAAGCAATCAAATGCAGGCTCAGGGGCTAGATTTAGACACAGAGTGTTCAAATGTAAGCCTGTAATCTACCTGTGGGCTACACTGTTTACTTAAATTTTTGTTTTTAGAAAGCATTGTAGTATTCTGCATTCTTTGGTATAAACTAGTTATAGTGGTAAGTTCTAAAGACAGACCATAAGTGCCAGTGTCCTATTATGTTAAATGCAGTATTCAAGCATTTAAAATGTGAGATTCCATTTTGGAGGAACCATCAACTACAATGCTTTGGAGATGAAAAATTTCCATATAACATGCTGAAATGTAGGAGGAAGAGTGAGTTGTTTTTATTGCCCATCTCAGAGAATGAATTTCACAGAGAAACACTTACATAGATCACACGGCTTGGGGAACCTGATGTACTTGAAGCAGGTACAGAAATGATACTCTCCGAGGAAGTCCTAGTTTCCTACAGCAGGAGGAGAGAAGCAAAACAGAAAAGATTGTAGGCAATAAAATAAAATTTGCATTTTGGTAATGAGAAAAAGATATTATGCATTACTTTCTTGATCCATCCCTGCAGAAAATAAAAAAGGGGGCTGGGTTAGTGGTGGGCCAAAAGACCAGCCTTTGGGATAAGCAGCAACAGTTTAAGCTAGATGAGCTCTGAATCTGGGCTCCCACGATGACTCGGTGGCAACACGTCTGCTCCCAGGTTATGCTGTCTTATGGCACTGTGTCACTCTCCAAAAAGCATGCAGAACATCCTTAATAAATCCTATAGATACCAAAGTAGTTTTTCCCTGACTCATCATATGAGTACTGGGTTAATTTTAAACTGCTTAGCTGGTTTTGCTTTGTTTTCAATCATTCTGGCATTCAGAGTTAGAGTAACAGAATTTTATTGCTTTTTTTTTTTTTGGTAGATTACTTTATGGTGAAAAATATCATTACTTTATGATAACAAAAAAGGTCTGCAAGACACAATGGTATCAACCATGTGTGAAAAGGCCTCACATTTGCAACTGAAGTTTAAAGAAATCTTGCAATTTTTTTTTATCCTCTCTTTAATTCAGATAGGCTAGCTCATCATAAAATATTCTTTTCCATCTATGRAAAAATCTACAGTCTACAATCCGAGGCTACAAGCAAGCACTTAGTTTGCTCTGCATTATAGTCACAGAAGTCATTTAGTGTCTTACTAAGTGCAGGCACCATGACTAACTGGGAGGCTACAATTCTTCAAATCCTTCAAAGCATTTTAGTGTTATTCAGCTGTCAGAACAAGGTAGCATCTTGCCTACTATGCCAGTAGTATATCGTAGTACTTACAGAGACAGTTATGTTAAATGTAATTGTTAAGTGCTTTCACTGTTGAAACCTTAGTTTAGAAATAGCATATAACGGCTGAAAGTAAAAAATTCTGTAAATCGGACAAAAAAAAAATTATTCTTCACCTCAGTATGGTACTGTGGAGCAGAAGGATCAAACTCAGTGATCACAAGAAGCCTTTCATCATCCTTCATTAACACAATCAGTCCTAAGGACTTCTGTGAGACCAAGATTCAATACAAGGTAACAGACCARTTTTCTTTGGCTTTTTCTTTTCCCCTGTCTCATCACAATTTCTTTTGTCCTTCCACTCTGGCTCCGAAGTTTTGATCTGTGCTGCCTTCTGCCTTTAGTGACTATTTCAGCCATGTGATCTGCATTTATCTATTTATGGAGAGATACACAACCTTTGACAGAATTTTCTGAAATAAAGGATTGATCAGCAAATTGCTCCATCAGCACATTCTATATCCAATTTTACTCGATATGTTGGCAAGTCTGCTRCTACCTTCTTGGAAGCAGCATCTTTCCTTCTTGTTCCTTTCACTAATGAAAGACCAGAAAAGGAAGAGCAGAAAACCCTCAAAAAAATTCCAAAAAGGGTTGAAAAAATGCTTCAAATTCCATTCTCTTTGTTCCTGCAGAGGCTTTCCTACTTTCCCGCTGCCTTTCTYTCTGCTTGGAGAGGGTCAGCCTCCCAGGTGCTTGGGAGAGACTTGTCCAAAATGAGCCAGATGCTCAACAACATCTTTCATGGACACATTCTGGGACATTGTGGAGACAAGGCAGTTAGTACAAACYCAGCAAACACTTCCCACTGTGTAAAAAAACAAACTACATTTGCAATAAATTACACGGGGTTTTAGCCTTGCAATTTCAGTTACACAGCCAGAATAATATCCTCAGGAAGCCTGAAAAGCTGCATAATATGATTAAACTGCATCAACTGCACTTATTAAGCTAAAGTATTTTGACAATCTTAAATATATTGTTCTTTTTTCATACCGAAACACCACTTATCTGATACTCTGAGCTTGCCACACCAAGCATCAGAACAATCACTTCCCGAGCACATGGGTACAAATATAGAGCCAACGTCCTCCAGGGTAAAGCCTGAGACAAGTTTGTTTTTCTTTTTTCCAACACTGTAATTTAGTTAAAGTTGCACTTGCTAACACACCAGATTTGTAAACACTCTTTTTATAGCTGCTGCCTTCTGTTCTGCCTTGTCCCGTGGGACTCGAGTACAACCCTTGCTAAATCAAACCAGAGCTTCTTCAAACAAAGATGCCACTTGGAGCATCAGAAAAGAGCAGAACTGAGAAGCCCCATGTTTGGCCTCTGCATTAAATGAGATAGTTGTATCTCAGCCCCACCACTTCAGAGAGGTTGTTTCCCCAGCTACAGATTAATTCTTCATTTCCTAGGGGATGCTTATTCATCCACTAACCTTGCAATTATTAAAGCTGCCAGAACTCCCTCTTCTCTCCTTGCACACAGACAGACACACAAATCATCCAACTTAAGGATGTACTTCAAGCCAGACATTAAATTAGGCTGGGGGTGGCTTGCCAGTGTTTTAAAAGCAAATAATAAGAAAGAAAGYCCAAGGAAAGACTTCAGCAGAAAAAAAACAAAGTGAAAATCTTCTGATCTTTTAAGAGAAGAGGTTAAAAAAAAAAAAAGAGAGAGAAGAGGTTGTGCACTGATCACATCATTATCTGACAGAAGTTAAAAATCAAGTTGTTTTTTATTCTCTGGTTTTTATTCTCTCATGGATTATAGACCAGGATTCTCCTTAAGTCATAGCTTTAATCACTAAGCAAAAAGCAGTACATGAAATTTTCCATTAACCTACTAGATTTTTGTCATTTTAAATTTAAAATACTGATAGTGAAACAATTTCAGACCCTTTCCCCTCTTCCCCACAAAAAGGGAGCGAGAATAAGACAAAGGAGAAAAAAAAGATAAAAAAATAAGGTATTTTTACCTTGTTTTTTTCTTCAGCCTTTGCAGCCTGTCTACAAACTGGATGCCAGATGGATGTACCTGCAAATTAAATTCAGAGCTCTGGTTAATTTAGTTCCCTAATAAGTGGCTTTTACAGGATGCAGCACACTGATTTCTCTGGAGTCAGGATTTCATGGACACTTTCCAAGTTAAAAAGAACCATTTCTCAGCATCAGTACGCCTGGTTCCACACATTTAAAAGGCACATCAGAAAGCTGCAATGACTTAAAAATGTGAAATAAACTTCAAAACCTACACCACTGGAGATGTCAGAAGGGACCTTTAGGAGTCCTTGACTCCAAGGCCCTGCTCAGGGCAGGTCCCACCRGAGCAGGCGACCTTGTCCTGTAGAGCTGTGAGCATTCCCAACCCGGGAAATCCGGCTTTCTGGTCAACCTGCTTTGGTGTTTCAGCATCCTCCTGGTAAAGTGTTTGCTTTTTTATTTTCCTTATATCTAGATAGAATTTCCCATGCTCTTATGTTCCATATTCTTGTAATGATTTGGTGGGTCATCTTAGCTAGCATCCTGTGATTCTGTGAATACACTCAGGTCATTTAATGCTTACAATCCAATATATTTTTCATCATTCACTGTAGCAATCTTGCACTTTCTACCTGCTTGACTAATACTAATTAAATATTTAAGAACTGCTTTATTTCAAGGAAAAATATACCCTAGAGATAACAGGACATATATACAGAATGAGACAAGTCTATGTTGCAAATATGTATGGAATATGTGTTTATGGTACAGCTAATTTGATTTTAACTCCAGAGTTAYGAGTAAATGTAAGTATTAGAAAGAAACTTAATAGTTTTGCTACTAGTCACAAAGAAAAAAAAAACCTTTAGAAGTTGAACAYAAATGTTCAATACACAGATGGAAGTGGAATGTGCACAACTATGAAAAATGAGTGAATAGCTATAAAAAATGAAGAATTATCTGTATGTTTTTAATAGTAAAAGAAACCTTTACATTTATCCCAGTTTGATCTGGGACATGAGCTCAAGCATTTCCCCACATAGCTGAACAATGTCAGTGCAAGGAAACCTCTGCATGACTCAATGGCAAGTTGAGAACTTGTGTGTTAGGGATATATAGTTTTCACTGGGTGGAGAACATTTATAGGAAGATTTATAGGAAATATTTTGTTTTCACAGCAGTTTGATCGCTTTCTCCACCGCTGGATTTCAGAAAGGAGATAAAAACAGAAGGTCTGTTTATGAGAAGACATTCTGTTCATCTGTTTATGAGAAGATCATTAGAYTGTATTTCACAAAAATAGGCCAGATGAACTGAAACTCAAGACAATCTGTAAATTCAAATTGGGCAAATTATGTCTGCTAAATTACTACTTTTTTAGCGGCCTAAACTAGCAAAAAATGGCTTAATGACACCTTTAAATTCCATCCTAGTTTATATTCACATGTTGAATGAGTTTGAGCTCATCCATTTCAGGAGTTTGAATGAACTGCCCCATGAGCTGATGCAAAGCTTCCCACTATTTTTAAACAGTATTTGATCATCTTTTTTTGAATGGCTACTTACTACTGACTTTCTGGTCATGCAGAATCATCTGGAAAACTTTTGCATATAGAAGAAAAAGGTGTCATTGCACCCATTTGCTGCCTGTTGCAAGATCACTGAAGAATTCTTTTCTATTCACAAACATGCAACATATAAAGGTATAATGCATTACTTTACTAACAAGCAGAAGAATAACAAGTTATAAAACCATGAAATTTGACAATTTTAAATATCTAAAATGTCTGATGAAGCAGTTCAAACACCGCACTGCTTTGGAGTTCATACTGGTTTCTGATGGAAAGTGCTCTTTGTGTAAAGACAAAAAATATATATGATGGTAAGTTGGTATAAATGTTTCCCTGTATCAGAAAGTAAAGAAAATATAAAAATTAATAGGATCTGAGCATACCTTATGACTCTTTGAACTAAAAATCAGCACAAAACCTAACAAATATCTATCATTATAGTTATTTGAACTTAAACAGAAAATTCATTGTAACTTGGTTGTGTAGGTTTAAGAATCTAAAAAAAAAAWTTTGCAGTACAATATCTTTTTTTAAAGCATTGATTTTTGGTGGTCTTTCAAGATTGCTAAACCACTTACAATTACATGAACCACAACATTTTTTCTGGCTCCTGAGAGAGAATGCATGARCAGAGGCAAGGATCATTATGTCTTTTAATGAGATAGYTCTTGTTGAAAACCAAAGTGACAATAAAATTTTAAAAATACAGTAAATTATAATAAGATCTTATTGGGACCAATTTAGGGTTTTAAAAAAAGGCCTACCTTTTCTGCTGTACTATTATTTTGCAGTACTAACTTTTTCAATATACTATTTAAAAAAATGTGGACAGTTGCAACTTCTGTAACACATATCTGGGCAAACAAGAAATAATTTCYCTCGTGCAAGCACATGGCTAAAGAAGATACAGACAGAAGACATTGTCTGGTCAGGACTTCAGCCTTCTGCCATCCTCTTTAGCATGTGAAGGTATGGAGATAGGATGGAGGAGAATTCAAATAAGGTGCCACAGAATTTCTCTGTAAGGTGCTACAGAATTTCTCTGGGCACCCCAATGGGAAATAGATCCAGCCTGTGTCTCAGATCCACAACAGCAGAGGTACATTTTCATCTAGATAAATTAGCACCACAGAAAAACATATTTTTTAGTAAATGGAAACTTTTAAAATCTTTACTGTTATTACTTCCACCTGAAAGAAATAAAGAGTCAAGGGTAGAAGTTATGTGATTCATACTTGCTTTAGGATTTAAACAGGRAGCAAACTAACAGTAAATCAGAGGCATCAAAGACCATTTTGGTTTTGCTTTTCCTTTTTTTGTTTTGAAACAAGAAAACCTCCAAAACAACTCAGCCATGCTAGCAGGCACACGCAAGAGGGTAATGCTGCTGACTATAATGTGTTTGTTTTTTTTACCTTGAAGATACATTTCTTCTCCTTCTGCAAACATCTGACTGCACCTGACACATCGTGCGCAACTTGGATGATAATGCTTTTCTCCTGCCTGTTTGGAGGGGAAAGAAAAATACAGATAATTAAGATTAATGATCGATTTAGCAGATTTAGCATGAGAATATTTTTTCATTCTCTAGAATACAATTAATTAGAACAAATGAGTTAATGCCAGCTACTGATTAAAGCCACAATAGTTATTTTGATTTTAGATACTTTAGTTTTCAAAATGAAACTATGATCTTGACTTCACAAAAACACTAGTGAGCCATAGGTAAATCTATGAATTTACAGAGTAGAAACCATTTCATATAGAGAGCACTGTTTTCCCAATAAGCAATCATAATGTGCACCAATAGCTTAGGACAGGACTAAATCTCTAAACTTTCTCAGACAGGTTTCAACTGTTTCGCCATAGATTTCAGTATATATTTCAAGAAAAGAAATCTACAGGACATTAAAGAGTAAGGATTTGTCTATGGCAGAAGATTACTGTGCAGTACGGAAAGAAGTGGATTTGATCTTCAACTAACATCAGGATAAAAAGCCAAGATTCTTGCAGCAAGGGATTTATGCAGGAGATATGCAGCAAACTTCTCAGTAGCCTGGCCACGATCCAGTTCTGTGGCTAACTGTGGGCACCCCTGTGAGCTCTGGTGCCCACTGGCAAGGACAGCAGTACCACAAGTGAGCGTTGGTTTGAATGAGACAAAAACAGCATCCTAGGGACATCCAGGGAAGAGCTGAATTTCAGAATCTCCTCCCTCCTCTTCTACTCCAATTTTTTCTGGGCCAGACAGAATGGTTTTAGACTTGAAGTCAGTGCTCCATCCACTACAAACAAAAGCCTGCAGAGCAAGTATCCCTAAAGCCATCTGGACCCAGCAGAAGTCCTGCTGGAGTTAAAAATGAGCAGAGAACACGTTGTACGTAGAACAACCTGTCCACCCAGAAGAGGCTGAAAGAGCTGTTAGGATTTTGTGCAACTTTAACAAATTATTATCAACTATTAGCAGTCCAGTATCTAAACATGTTCTCACATTTCACTGTAAATTCAGTCTTTTCTTAACAGTCTATGTGCCTCTGTCCTTAATATGAAAGAAAAAAAATCTGTTATTGGCAAGAATCAATAAGATGCTGTTAGAAATTTAGCAGTGTTACTACAGGGATAACTTGCCTGATTATTTTTGACAGACAGAATATCAAAGTCTTCAGAGAGACTTCAAGAACATATTCTGGCTCTGGGGCTACTTTGCCATCTACATTATCAAATACAGGAATGTGACAAGGTAAGGTTAAAGAAGTCCTGAGTTTTACTTCCCCATGTTAGATTGTTTCACTCCTGAAAACTTGTTGCTGCGTGTATTATATCAGAAATAAGGATGAGCAACACATCACATGAGAATTAACATTTTGAAAACAATTTTGTTGCAGTTGACKCTCTGCTTTATGGCTCTACTGGTGCAGACTGCTGAGTTTTCTGCAACTTTAGAAAAGGAAAATCAACATTACTTAGTGTGAAGTATCAGACCTGAGGTTTAACACTATTGCCTGAGTGCAGGCTTAAGAACAAGTGAGGCATTAACTATAATTAATTCTGTGAATCATAGAATCACAGAATGGTTGAGGTTGGAAGGGACCTCTAGAGATCATCTAGTCCAACCCCCCTGCTCCAGCAGGGACACCCAGAGCACGGGGCACAGGGCGGCATCCAGGTGGGTTTGGAAGATCTCCAGAGAAGGAGACTCCACAAACTCCCTGGGCAGCCTGTGCCAGGGCTCTGTCACCCTCACAGTGAAGAAGTTCTTCCTCACATGTGGTTGAAACTTCCTGTATTTCAACATATACCCACTACCCCTTGTCCTATCACTGGCCACCACTGAGAAGAGTTTTGGCCCTCTCCTCCCTACATTCACCCTTCAGGTATTTGTACATATTGATCAGATCCCCTCTCAACCTTCTCTTCTCCAGGCTAAACAGGCCCAGCTTGCTTAGCCTTTCTTCATAAGACAGATGCTCYAGCCCCTGCTCCAGATCCCCATCTTTGTTCCTTTCCACTCCTCTCTGGAAACTTCACATCCCTCTTGTCCTGGGGAGCCCAGAACTGCCCCCAATACAGAGCAGAGCTGAGGAGAGGGGCTGGATCCCCTCCCTGGACCTTCTGGCAACATCTTCCTGATGCAGCCAGGATCCCATTGGTCTTCTTGGCCATGAGGACACAYTGCTGACTCATGGCTAAATGTGAAATATGAAGTTAAAAGCAGCACCATTTCCCTTGGAAGACTGGTATTACATGGACACTGCTAATACAAAGGATAGACTCGATTCAATCGATTTTGCCCAGCTCACACAATTCCCAGGCTGAGTATCTAGGGGAATTCAGTTACTCCTCTGAAAGCAGAAACCGTCAGAATGCATTTGGTGATAACCTGGATGCATCACAGAACAGAAGCTATATCCCCACATTTAAAAGCACAAGCAAGTATCATTGTAATTCACTCACTGGTGTAGTAACTACTATGTAATCACTCATCTTAAATGCCAGAGAGAGAATTTTTTTTAAATTTAGATATACTTAGAACAGACAGAAAAAAAAAAAATAGAGTATCCTTCTGCTCTGTCACTCACACCACAACAATTTGAACAGATTTTTCAGCATTACCTCCAAGTTACAATGGTACATATTCAAATTTTTCAAGTAACTCTAAGTGCTGACAGTACTTTTTTTGTTTCCTCCTTCTCTTTTTCAGTTGATGTTGCAGCCACCTAGCTGAAGCAGACACAACAAGACAGGGCAGATTCTTTAACCTCTGAAGTATTTAAAACAAATCATATGGTCTTTCTAAATGAGACCTGATAGTTGAATCTTAGGTTATGGACTTGATGCAGGAAATAAATAATATTACTCTCTAATATGGTTATACAATTTGATTATATACTCATGAATTATATTTAAACCAGGGACCTGGAATTTTAGATCTGAACATGCCCCATAACCTCATGAGGGTGCATATCAAGGTAGCTTTCATCCATGTTCATGTCTCTCTTCTCCTCAGACCACTTCAGCAGCTTCACCTCAGAAATGAACAATCAAGTTTCCAGCAGAATCCAGAAATTTTGTAAGCTTAGGGCAGCAACTGTTAAATGTTTTTGGTTTAGTTACGATGATGGCCTTATTATTTTTTTTCTTTTCTTAGTTATATTGACGTGAGGGAATTTAAAGCAGCAAACAAATTCCTAACCATATGGTTACTACTTCTTTGCACAGTTTGAAAGCTTAGTTTGACAGATTGTTGTCTCCGTGTTGCTAGTTTAATAAAATACCAACACACATACAGCATGGAAGCTGCAATACCCATCCCTGACAGATCTCTCCCTGTTCAGGGAGGACTACAAGGATCCCCCTCAAGAGCCTACATTTGCTTTAAGACTGCACCTAGACTTTGTGCCTCAGCATTCTGAGGTGAGGACAGTATTTTTCTGAATGTTAAATTGAAGATACATTTTCAGCTGCTGTTTCTTTCAATCTGAACAGCAAAGTGTCCTTGGAAACATAGTACAATAACAATATTTAAATTTCCCTTCAAATGACTGCAGCAGCTTTCCATAACTGCTGAGTCAAAGTCTCAGGGTATAATTTCAAGACTGACTCAAGAAGGTGCTTGCAAATGGGAGCCAGACTGTTCTGAACCACTCCATCCCCCAGCTAGGAAGGTCTGCTTGCAGAGGTAACACCTTTCTGTGGGGCAGCAGGGCTTTCGGTCTGGACGAAACACGGAATGGGCTCCCTCGGGAGCAGGAGCTACGGAAAACTGCAGCCCCTTCTGCTCTAGGCATGAGCTGCTACCTCTAATAGAGCACACAGGAAAGGAAAAACAGGAAAAAAAAAAAAGGAACAAAAAGCTCTGCAGCAATGTACATGAATTACCTTTTTTTCTCATTGCCCCTACCTTCAGGACTGAAGTAGATAGAAGACACAATGAACTTGGTGTGACAAATGTTAATTACTTCATTTAACGCATAGTTTGAAGACAGGAAGGAGGGCACTACTAGAGCGTGTACAGAACATGAAGCATTAAACAACTCTCAATGCTCAGCAAGCCAAAATCATTCACAGTGGAAGGAATAACCTGAACTACTTAAAGCTGAGTTCTGCATTGCCTGTCAGCACCCAGGAGAAGGATATTACATTATTATAGACAGCACCAGTGAAAAGCTCTGCTCAAACTCTGGCTATGGTAGAAATGACCAGTGAAGCAGCAGAATACACAGAAAATGATAWATTTAATAACCCTGAAGCCATTACCATGACATTAATGGCCTGGCCTCTCATGCAGTTGCTAAGAGTGCAAAACCCCAGATATCTATTTCCAAACACTAATAAATGAACACAAAACACACTGAAATCAAGATGTGCTTGATATATGTCATATTAAAAGGGAATTTCAAATTAAGATACAACTCCTTGGAAAATTAATCCTCTAAAGCTTTTCAGCTACATCTGTGCATTCATATGAGTAGAACTGGGGAGACAAAGAGCACCTAACTTAACCTGCTAAGGAAAGTTCATCATCTATCATTTTAAATTCAACATTGAGAAGCGTGTACTTTCACTGKGAAGTTTTTTTGGAATATACACTGAGCTCCTTTATATAACATTCGTTTTGTCACGCTTGTATTTCATCATTCATTTTTAAAATSAACATTATAACCAGACTATTTTTATCATTTTTTTTTCCTTAGGTGGCTGAAATGTATGGGAAACAGATAATAAATACAGGTATAAAAAAGAACTCTASATTTTTATGAACATCAATAAAGTTTTTGAATAAAATACAACACTTTTTGGATGCAGTCAGTCAATGCACTGATTTATAGAGACAAACTCACAATTTCTGTCAGTAAAAGCAGCCCACTGACTTTGGCTGAGCCAGRCTTCTAGCTCCTGCTCCCAGAGCTGGATTAGTTTTCATCTAGCAATCATGTCACCAAACAGCCCAGAACTGGACTGGAGTTTTCTTTCCAAGGTATTCTACCTAACCCAGCTGAAAA